GGGGGGGCGGTACGTGGGCGCAAAGACGTGCACCCCCCCCCCGCAGTGCTCGCCAGGCTGAGTCTGGTGCCAGAGCCAGACCCACCCTCCCTCGGGGTTTTTCTTCTTCACTGCCTTCAGCGCCTTGGGCGCGGTGGCTCCCCTCCCGGCAGGGACTGCACTGCGCCGCCTCTGCCCAGTCTCTGGGGCAGCTGAAGAGGACGGCGCCTCTGCTGGAAGGCTCGGCAGACAGGGCTGCCCCGCACCCTTGGGAGGGCCCGGGGGCCAGAAGTGCGGGTCGTCTGCGGCGCCGGAGGCCCTGGATCTGGGGGGGGGGGGTCCCCGGTCGCTGGAGGGAAGACCCGAACCTGCTACTGGGGTGGGGATCCTGGCGCGGCAGCCCTGAAGGCCCCCGCCTCTTCCAGTCCCTCTGTCGCGGCGCCTGGAACCTCGGTCCTTCGTAGCGGAAGCCTAGGCCTGGGTGGGTTTACTCGGAAGAAAGCCACACGGTGGTGTCCACGGGGCCCCCTTGCCCTCCGACGCGCGCGGGACGGGGCTGAAGTCGAGTTCTCTCGAAGAGTCCCCGGGGAGATGGGTCTTCTTCAATGCTCCCTCTAAGCTGTGGGGTCTTGTGAGCAAAAATTCTACTTCCTGAGCTACCGGCATTTAAGTTGTGAGCAAACGATTTGGCTGTTGCATAAATTAGTTTGCTCTGGAGCCATCCTTCCTGAGTTAAGACAAAAATAGACAAAAATGTGTGAGCCGGAGGCTAGAAAACTGTGAGCTAGCTCACACTAACTCAGCTTAGAGGGAATACTTCTTCAGGGAAAGTGTGGGTTGTTTTGGCGGGGGTGGAGAGCCACGGCCCTCCAGCGCGGTCAGATCTGTTGAGAAGCCGGGGACTCCTGCACGGCCCACGCGGTAGACCTGTGGGTGGTTTGCGGGTGTCACTCTTGGCCGGCGCCCAGCTTGAAACAAAACCCGGAGTCACTCCGGAGCCGAAAATAGATCGCGATCTGGGCATGGGGTTCCGAGGTTACTGTTTTCTAAAGGTGGGGGGGAGGGAGGTCATGACCCCCCCCCAGATGTCTAGGGCGCACTTCAGGCCGGAGAGGCCCGGGTTTTCTGCTCCCCCCTCCCCTCGCCTGCTGGGGGGGGGGGAGGGAGGCTCTAGCAGCCTGCAGGATTGCCGGCCGAGCTTGCCTCCGTGCCGTCCGGCCAGGCGGGCTGACCCTTTCCGTCCCTACAGGATATCTTGAGCTCTCGATAGGAGTAAATCTGGTCTCAGAAGCTGCTAGAGTGTTTTCCTGGCCGCCCGGGGGCCGGCTCTTCCCCGGGAGTCGTGCACGCTGCTGATTATTTTATCGACATCCTCAATACAGACAAATTCAGGAAACACTCGGCTTCTGATAGCCTGGATCCGTTTTTCTGATATTGTTCATTTCCTCTGTGCGGGACGGGGCTTTATGACAGCTAAAATAACTCGTTGCTTCCTTAAAAAAGAAAAGCCAAGCCAAGCCGGCCTGTTTTCACCAGAATTGCTAAAGCCTGACGCGCGCCAGCAAAACAGATTCTCGAATAACAATGTGGCCCTATTTTCAAAGGCGGCGGCGACTGGACAACAAACGCGCAAGAGCCTCCCGCCGGTCTCTCTGGGCCTGCTCGCCCGAATCCTTCGCCTGCAGGGGCTCGACGGCCAGCCCCCGAGTGGCGCCGATCCCGCACGGGTTTACTTGGAAGTAAATCTGGAAGGCCCTGGCTTAGGAGCGCGCTAGACCGGTGGGTCTTTCCTTCGGAGGTCCGATTGCCCCGGACTACGCCAAGGGAAACGGATCTGGGGGCTCGCGTGGCCACCGCGCGTGTCAATTTCCCTAATGTAAATTTTCCTGGGCGTCCAGTCCTGTGGAAATGACCGCCTTGGGAAGGGTAGTTTAGGATCCTGCTGTCGGAAGGACGGCGGCCTACCAAGCAGCCTGAAGCAGGGCTGTTTGTGTGAGGGAGGGTGCGGGGACGATCCCACTGCTCGGAAGCCGTTTTGATTCAGCAGAAAAGAATAAGAGCAAGAAGGCAGAGCAAGAAGTCCCTTTCTCACAATGCAAGAACTCGTGGGTCCTCCATGAAATTAATGAGCGGAAGGCTTGGAGGAAGCGCCTCTTCACTCAAAGAGTTGATTAGCAGGTGGGATTCACTTCTAGAGAGCAGTGACTCATGAGAGTCCCCACCCTGCCACAAATTGTGTTGTTCTTGAAGGCACTACGGGACTCTCTCGCTCTTTTCTGCTGCTACAGGCAGACTAACACGGCTACCCCCATCTTGATCTCGTTTTAATTCAGGTTATTCCCACGCGGGGACAAGCGCCTGCTCCATTTTGCGGGCTTCCCAGAGTCCTGGTCCGGGCTGTTGCTGGCCGGAGATGGCCCCTCAGGCTGTTCCCGTGAGCACATTTTGTGTGTCCTCGTGAAGCCCGCTGTCAATCGCCCCCCCAAAAAAGTTTAGAATTCTTGTTCCCTTTTACAACTGCCCGAGGGGGGGGGCGGTTTGGGGAAACTGACGTGGAGAGCAGCCGACTTACATTCTAAACCAGCGTGGACCGCTCCCTGCACTACCCTTGAGCTTTATCGCTCTCACGCAGAAGCCACCACATCTGCCCAATCCAAAGGTTCCCAGTGCGGCAGCAAAATAACGTCGTCGTCCGAGACAAATCCTTGCACTCCGGGCCTTTTCCTGTGCCTCCTCTTGAGCATTTCCTGCACTCTCTTGTCTTTGGGCCACAGCCCTGGGTGGACGTGGAAGCCGCTTGCATGGAAACGAGTCTTCCCGGGGAACACGTTCAAAGATCAGAGGCAGGTTATTTGATCTAGGGCAGAAGCGAGAGCGCGACTCTGGACCGGGCCCAGCCACCCTCCGGGGAATGCGCACTGGATAGACCTATTTGTGTGGGATGTTCAGCCGCCTTGAACCACAAAGGATAGGCAGGGCAGAAGTATCTGGTATCTAAATATTAGGAGATGCGCATAAATCGGTGGAGACTTGAGACCTAATCAAGAAACCGGCTGAGCCCAAGGGATCGGATACTTCCAGGGTCGTGTGAGGGAGGGGTCACAGAGAGGGTGCAGGATGACAGTACTGAACATTCTGCATTTATTGACTTCGTTCATATCCCGCCTTCCTCCCGAATGGGACACGGAGAGGGTGCAGGACGACAGTTCTGAACATTTTGCATTTATTGACTTCCTTCATATCCCGCCTTCCTCCCGAATGGGAATCAAAGCGGCTGACAGCTTTCTCCCCGCCTCCCTTATATCGTCACAACAACCCTGTGAGGTAGGTGAGGCTCAGAGTCCAAAGTCAGCCAGCCAGCCAACTTCCGTGGCAGAACAGGAATTCGAACCTGGGTCTCCCAGATACGACACTCTCCACCGGTAGACCACAGCGGGGGGCCCTGCTACTACGAAAAATCATCACAGCCCCCAGGGTAAACCCCACCGATTTCTACAGCGTTTGCTTTCTCCTCAGGGAATGGCACCGAAATCCCGTTTCAACTCTTGGCCCTTCCGGTAGCTGAAGGAGGGCCTTTAGGACTGCGGGGGAAGATCCCCTCCCGTCCATTGTGGCTGCCGTCTTTAGCTCCCAGTGATCCAACACTTGGAGGCGGCAAGTTCCGCTGGAGATCTTCACTTTGGAGTAACGGCTTGGCTAGGTTGGACGCGGTCAGTCACACGAAATAATCCACGTTCAGGGCACTTTCCAGCTGGGTTTTATTTCTGTGAACTGGCAAAATCCAGTTGGAAAGTGCACTGAAAGTGGATTATTTTGTGTGTGTGACCGCAGTCATTCCTTTCACACAAGTTGGGCAATGCGTTTTCAATGCACTGTAGCAACCGTTTGCGGCTGGGTTTTCCTGCGTGAAAGCGGCGAAGGTGTATAGGATCAAGGGTGTCATTTTGACTGGGGAAACGTCCCGTTTTGCAGATATATAAAGACAATAAATGGAGTTTAGAAAGCGCGCCAGATAAGATTTGATAGCGCACCTACATTGAGTTTGGCGTTTTCCCAGGGAAATCAAACGCAACGAAAAAGACGCTGAATAATCGTGTGTCCGCGAAGGAAGCTGGCCTGGCAAAGCCTTGGGTGCCCCTTCCCGCCCTCCCTTGGGAAGAACTCCAAATATACAAGCGTTTATCACTGGGGGGCTGGAGGCGGTCTCAGACTAGGATAAACGCAATGCAAGTAAAGCTGGTGAAAGCGATTCAGAAGAGTGCGGCGGAATTGCAATTTATTTCCATTTCTCTAAAACATGTCTACACACCGTCTGTCCCAACATTTCTAGACAACGTGTAGGTAATAATATCCCGGCCTTTACGTGGGCTCACTGTTGCTCAACTACTCTCCGGAGCGGGGTGGGGGGTGGGGGATCCTTCTTTGGAAGGAAGACCTTATCTGCTCCTCCTTGTTGGGTCCACAGACGCGCCTGAGGAGGCTGGGGGCCGGATTAAAGAAGGGGCAGACTGTTTTTTGGGAACCTCTCTAACTTCGTGGCACAGAGACACTTGCCAAAGGACCACAGGTGGTGGACGGAGACTCCACCGCCCCGCTTTCTCGGGGTTCGTCCAGTGAAACCCACGGGCATTTGCAGAAGGTTCCGGATGGGCCAAAACGAAGGATTTTTGTCTGCCCCCCAAATGAGCCCCCCTCTGCCTCAAAGACGGGATAGAGGGCCGGTGGTTTCGGGGGCGAACAGTTTGTGGAAGAGATCTGTCTGTCAAAAGACGAGCGACTACTGTGCATCTCTGCCAGTGCCAAGGCAGCATGTTACGGCTGGAATACCTTTTGGCTTGTCCTACTCCCCTCCCGCATGTTATCTTCACAACAACCCTGCGGGGCAGAGGCTTTCCCAAGGCCACCCAGCCGCCGGCTTCCGGGGCTTGAACTCGGCTCTCCGGATCCCTCGGGTGATCCTCTGACCACTGCGCCGGAGTGTCATGGTGGGCCCGGGCGGTTGCCCAAATGCCCCACGTGGGAAGCTGCTGGGCGGGGCTGGATGACCGGGGGTCTGAGTCCGGCGCTGCCGCCCGGGTTGGCTTGCAGGGGAGGCCCCGAGAGAGCCGGGTGGGAGAGCCTTTGCGCGCGCTCTGAGCGAGAGAGACCCACACAGGAAACACATTGACGGAAGCCTTGCCATAGCCCGTCGCCGGGTGGCTTTAACTGTCCTCTGCGCGGCTGATGCACAAATCCGAGGGGCCCGAGCTGCTCGCGTGGAGAGGGGAGGGTCCGGCTTTAGTGGCACGGGGAGCCTTCCCAAGGCAGCGTCGGAAGCCTCCCGAGAGAGACGGGGCGCGCGGCTCCTCCCTCTGCCTCGGGAAGCGAGCGTTAGGGCCGGATCCACGGGCGCATCGAGTCGACTGTGTGCGGCGTGCAAAGCGTCACGTTGCCTTCAAGCTCTCGGCGCGATCCTGGGCAGAGTTGTGCGCGTGTGTGGGAAGGGCCGTCAAGTCGCGGCCGATGTTTGGAAACCCGGCGGGTTTTCAAGGCGAGGGATGTTCAGAGGTGGTTCGCCATCGCCTGCCGCAGCGGAGCAATCCTCGACTTAGCTGAGGAGATCGGGCGAGGCTGGCCAGTATCAAGCCTGGCGAGTACCAAGCGAATGCCAAGGGGTTTAGATCGAATAAAGGCTGCCTAGGATGGCACCTTGGTCCTGCCCCGCCCTCTCCGCCTAACCCACCTCCTAGGGTTGTTGTGAGGGGGTTCCTAGCAATTCCTCGCAGGGAAGGATGAGAATGGGGGAGAAAATCAAAATAAAATCTGATAGGGTCCAACCCGATTCTACTTGCTGCGTATTTAGGTATCTGTCGTGAGCCGTCTTGGGCTTACTGTGTGGAGAAGGGCGGCGTGCAAATATTTTAAGAAATAAATAGCTTAATGTTTTGTTGTAAAGGCTATTTTGGTATCCTAGGAGGGAATTTAAAAAGGGATGGCCTAACAGAGAGGGCTGGTTTTCTTTATGGAAGTGTAAAGTATAGCGGGTTTGACTTTAGGCACCTATACTTAGATCTCATCTACAGAACTGATCCAGGCCCCCACAGAATCTTTACTCGGCTGCCGAGGCCTCTCGAAGTGGGGACAGGGTGTGTGTGTGTGTGTGTGTGTGAATCCTTTTCAATGGCATAAGGGGGCAAGGAATGGTGGTCCTTTCGGGTAGTGGGGTCTTGGGCGTGTCTGGGCGCGCGAAGCGAGCGGCGCCCAGAGCTGCCGGCGGGTGGCCTGAAAGTCGCCCCCGAGCGTTCCTCGGGATTTCAGGCTTGTGATTTGGCGCCTCGGGCTGGCTGGGCGCTGTAGAGTGGTCTCAGCCCAGGAGAGAGGAGAAAACCGTCACTGTTCAAGGAAAGATTTACAGTGCAGTCCTATGCAGAGTTACTCTAGCCAGGGATCCCCAACGTGGCGTCCGCCAAGTGGGGCCAGGTGGGGATTTTCCCCACCCAGGCTTCTGATTGATTATTGGAGATTCGTTTGGCTGTGCAGAGTTAGTTTTTTTTTTAAATGTCGGCTTTCCCTCTAAGCGGAGTTAATGTGAGCTAGCTCACAGGTTTTTTAAGCCTCTGGCTCACACCTTTTTGTCTTAGTTCAGGAAAGATGGCTCCAGAACAAACTAATTTATGCAGCAGCCAAATTCCTCGCTCAAAGCTTTAACGCTAGTAGCTCACAAAGTAGAATATTTGCTCACAAGACTCCACAGCTTACAGGCAGCCTTGTTTCCAACAGGATTTTGCCAATTCACACGTAAATATCCAGTTGGAAAGTGCACTGAAACTGATTCAGCTTTTTAGCCTCCGGCTCACACGTTTCCGGCTCACGTTTTTGCCTTAGGTGAGGAAGGGATGGCTCCAGAGCAAACTCATTGATGCAGCAACCAACTCGCTCGCTCACAACTTTAATGCCAGGAGCTCACAAAGTAGAATTTTGGCCCTGGAGACTCCACACAGTTTACAGGGAGCTTTGGCTGCCACGCCACAGCACCAGGGTCTGCACCGGGTTAGTGAAGCTAAGCTGTGGCCCGGCTCGTTTTGTGGCTGGCTCCGCCTCCCGCGGCCACCGTTTCGTGGCAGCCATTTTCATTGCTGCGCCCCCACCCCACACCAATGGTGTGTCGGAACCCGGTAGGTGCCCCGGGGTTTTCCTCCTCTGTGGCCCGCGGCAATGTTCCCGAGAGCCACCGAAGGCATTCGTGACCCTCTGGCCTCCCCAGACCTCGCTTTACTAGAGTGCCTCCTGTAGCCAGGTCTTGGTTTGATGCACACAGATTGTACAATTAATCAGTTATGATTAGACCACCAGAAATATTCCTAACGGGCCGCCAGCTCTGCTCCCCCCCCCCCCCCCCCACCCCCCCCCCCCGCCCCCCCCCTCCCCCCCCCCCCCCCCCCCCGCCAGCCCTTCGGGACAGGAAGGCTTCGGTCACGCACGCTAAATAACCCACTTTCAGATTGGATTTTACTGTGTGAACTGGCAGAATCCGGTTGGGAAGTGCACTGAAAGTGGATTATTTCGTGTGCGTGTGTGACCGCAGCCTGCGAGAGAGCCAAGGGCCCGGGTTTTTCAAGACTTATCTATGAATGAAACAGGGGTGTCGAATCCGGGGGACAATCGATCAGGGTTCTTTTTTTGGGGGGGGAGGCCTCCTAGAATCTTTCAAAGGAAATAAATGCGTGAGAGTTTACTTTTGCTTAGATACTATAAATTGTGCGGATGAGATATAAAGGGGAGCTCTTTATGGTCCCTAGCCATTCCGGATTTGAGCGTGACTGAGGCCCCTTCAGTATGACAACTGTTTACTTCATCCATTTAAATGGAGGGGGGGGGCTTGGTCCACCCAGATTAAAAAGAGCTCCCCTTTATATCTCATCCGCACAATTTATAGTATCTGATTTTATTGTAATTTAATTAACTGTTTACATTTTTTTCCTTTTGCCTGTTGAACAATGATGTACACCGCCCTGCTCCTTCTGGGGGAAGGCGGATGATGATGAGGATGTCTCCACCGCCCTATTTAAGCCGGAGCATCCCCATCAAGTTGTTTCATTCGGGAGGGGGACTCCCCCGGATTCAGTGGGATGCGTGGAGAGGCCTGCCCTCCTGGGTGTGGGGTGCACCGTGCTCTGTCCTGAAAGCTGCAAAGGTCCCCCCTCCCACCCCCCGCGCTGACCATCCGCCGCCGGCCGGTTTCTCCCGCAGGGAAGCCGCTGCTGTGGAGCCCCTTCCTGCCGCGGCCGCTGCACAAGCGCAAGGGCGGCCAGGTGCGCTTCTCCAACGACCAGACCATCGAGCTGGAGAAGAAGTTCGAGACGCAGAAGTACCTCTCCCCGCCCGAGCGGAAGCGCCTGGCCAAGATGCTGCAGCTCAGCGAGAGGCAGGTGAGAGAGAGACTGCTGTGGAGCCCCTTCCTGCCGCGGCCGCTGCACAAGCGCAAGGGCGGCCAGGTGCGCTTCTCCAACGACCAGACCATCGAGCTGGAGAAGAAGTTCGAGACGCAGAAGTACCTCTCCCCGCCCGAGCGGAAGCGCCTGGCCAAGATGCTGCAGCTCAGCGAGAGGCAGGTGAGAGAGAGACCCCCCCCCCACCCCGCGGGAGGGAGGGAGGGAGGGAGGGAGGCTCGGGCGGCGGCCCCCCCCTCCTCCGGCCCCAAGCCGGTGCCCGGGCCAGGTGCGAAGGGCT